CATTTATTAGGTCCCCTCGCAGCCTTCTCTTCTTCAGGCTGAACAAGCCCAGCTCCCTCAGCCTTTCCTCGTAGGAGAGATGCTCCAGTCCCCTCACCATCCTCATAGCCCTCCGCTGGACTCTCTCCAGTAGCTCCTCATCTTTCTTGAAGTGGGGAGCCCAGAACTGGACGCAGTACTCCAGATGGGGAGGGAAGATGTACATGCACTGCCAACCCATGGTTGGGGAAATGGCATCTGTGACAGGGAAGAAGCACTTTCTGGGAAGGACAACTGCAAATCTGCCAGTTGCTGCCTGCTGCTTGTCTGGGTGAAGCAGACACCCTGGATACCGTCCTGAATGCAACACACTCGTGTCATTGAGACTGGGAACGCTACTGCCCTGGGGGTAACCTCGCCGGTAGGTGTGTGTTGCCAGGGGCTCCTAGTACTGCCTGGGGAGCTGGGGTGGGGACAAAGGTCTGGCTGTTGGTCACCTGGGGAGAGGAATGCTGCTCCAGTGTCAACAGTAAGGACTGGTTCTTGCTTTGTGGCTGGTGATAGCTGGCTTGTAAACAGTAGAAACCTGTGCTGTCTGTTTGCTTGCCCAGACCTAGAAGACTCTCCTTTGCTGTTCACGCCTCTTACAAAGCCAGTTTTGGAACCTCTTCTTCCCAGCAAAGGAGATAGATATCCTCATGCAAATGCTGTTTATAGCTTTCCATTAATCATCCAGCAAGGGCTGTCAAACAAACAGGGGAAGGTTAGGCAGTTTAAATCTCCGAGTTAGGCAATTAAAGTCTCCAAGCTGCTGACTCTGAAATTTCAAAGTGAAAGTTTGAATTAACCTTTAATGGAACAACAGTAACTCGTTCTTGTCCTTGCTATGTGCAGAGTCAGTGCTCAGTACAGAGCGTGATGTAAACCGAAAGGTCTCATTTTCTGTGTCTTCCTGTTTCTTGCTCCCCACCCCCTGCTTGCGTGCTGTTTCTTCTCGGACCTTCCATGCTGTGTTGCAGAGGGAACGTGTAAGGACAGCACTACCTTCTAGGCACATAATTTCTGTCGGAAAACATCTTAGTCCTCTCAGACATAGGAATGTGTTTTCTCGTTGTGTTAGGCATCCCTTACACACCCTGTCGCTGACATTTTCCAAGAAGCTGTTTGTGAGAATTACACCAGCGAACACATAAACCTGCAGGGAACTGCAGTTAGCTTGGGCTGAGTTCTGCGTTTGACATGGGGAGAGCAGTTTTCGGACAGCATGGTGTGCTAATCCTGGCAGGATCAGGCCTTTGTATTTTTTTTTTTTTTTTTTTTTTGGTAGACTTGAAGGCTCAGTTGGTCCCAAGGATTATTAAGTATTGACTGGCTACCACTCTGTGTGTAGGCAAAGCAGACTGTGCGTGACGATAGCTTGAAGAATCGTGCAGAAAAGACATTTAATGACCTTAGCCACTTTGTGGGGGTTAGGTGTGAGTGTCCTCCTGTTATTTGCAAGCAGACTTTGCCCTCTGTGTTCATTACTCAGAATGCTCTGCCACATGGATATATCCTACTGATCTGCTGCAATCTCACACTGGTCCCCAGCAGCCATTCCCAGGAATGGCTTTCAGTGCTTTGTTGGTAGTCAGCCTTGCGGAGGTGGTGGATTATGAGGTGTAGTTAATCTGCTGGGCTACGTGAGGTTATTTCTGACCAGCTGGTCCCTGAGATAACAAAGGTATTTTCGAGACAGACATACATGCAGTGCTGACAGAACTGCAGCAGTAAATATATTTTTCCCACAACAAAAGCTCTTGCTGATAAAATAGCCTGTCTCTGAAGTTTGCAAAAAAATAAAAATGGGGATGAGCATGGAGGAGGACGTACTCCCTAGATAGGGAAGACAGAGTGTAGCTGGAAAGAAAAACACAGCAAGAACAAGAGACTGTGGAAGACCTGGAAGAGGCCCTGCAGCCTGGAAGACTCCACGTAGGGTGCCTCTACAGTCAGGTACCATGCTAGGATACCTCTTCTGTCCCAGAGGAGGCAAACCACACCGGTGACAAGGCTGCACTTGTAGCTCTGTGCATGAGTGTCAAGTTTGTCCCCAGCAGATCACAGGAGCAGTGCAGAAGCTGGCTCAGCAGGGCTTCTTGGCCTTCTCACAGCAGGAGGTGATTCACAAGGGTGCGTTGACCATCTGGGGTGTCACGTCAAGACAGACCCTGGCAGTGGCCCACAGGCAGCATAGGGGGATTTGCCCATTTCCTGCCAAGGGCTGCTCACCACCTCCCTGTCTGGAGAAATGAGGGCCTGTTCTGAGGGCTGCTCCTTCCACCTTCCCTTCAAGGGCTGGTGAGGCCGAGGACAGGTAGAGCTGAAAAGGCAGTGCCAGACTTTCCTCCTTCCAGCCTTCAGGATGGGACCATTAATGCTCCCATCTCTGGTGCTTCTCAAGTACCTCTTGACACCATTGTCATAGATGTGGGAGCACAAGACTGGAAAGATGTCCAACATTTTTGGTCAAATCCCAAGGATAGCTTTCATCTTTTCCAGCCTACTGGCTGTCCTCACCTCTCCTGAGTGCTCCATCAAACTTGGCTGCTTGTCAGCTTACCACAGTTCCATCTTCTCCTGGTTCTCCTTCCCTGATAGCTCCTTCAGGTTTCCACTGATGCTGAAATAAGGCATGGACTTCCTGCAAGTAAGGGAACTCTTCTGACAGAATTATTATTTGTGAAGGAAGAAACAAGTTATATCAGGAAAGGCAGAGCAACTGCAGTCTGGTTCTTCTGCCTGTGCCTCCCTCAGACCACTGAACATCTTCTCGGGCCCTGACTAACCTCCGGTCCTTCCTGCCCGCACTGTTCCCTCATGCAGGCAAGAGGCAGCATGTGGCCAGCTCCAGGACACCACTGGCAATGCTTTGTGCCTGCTGCCTCCTTCCCCTCAGTCAAGGTAGCTGGTGTCTCTCTTCTCCAGGTGCTCAGCAGCTTTCACAGACTCTTTGGCACCAGATCCTGCTGCCTCATTTGGTTGGATTTTACTAATAGATACAAAAGTGGTAAGAGCTGGGCAGACCATGTAGTCACAGATCCTTGGTTTCTTTGGGAAATATCCTGAATACCTCTTGTTTTCACCTCTCAAGCATGAGAGCTGCTCAGTAATTAATGTGTTGTTGCCCTGGTGAGTGGGACTTGCCCTGGTCCTCCCAGGGCTGTGCCTGAGAAACAGACCTGTTTTTCCAACATGGAAGTAACCCGATCGTTGGCTGTGCGGTGAGGTGTGCTGCGGCTATGACCCGGAGTTACCTGGTGCTGAAAGGAGACACCTCGTTTGCGCACTGCGCCAAAGGCAGCCGTAAATCAGGTGTCACTGAGGGCAGCAGGATATTTCTCAATGTGCATTTCCCACCAGGCCACTATGGCCTAGAGCTATTCTTAGCCCCTAGTAATGCTCTGCTGAATTACGACAGGTTCAGTAATCACTAGAATACTACAAAATAAGTCAGATTTCTTTTTTTTTTTAAGCTTAAAAAGGGCTATTCCATGATAAAGCAGAAGGGAAGTGAAAACCGTATAAAGTCTGCTTTATAAGTTTAAACTATTGCAGCAACCAAAGAGTGACAGTGATTCTCAGGTGAAAGATTTCCAGTCCTCGGTTTCATTCAGAGGCCAGAGGCTGAAGGACATGCTTTCAGTAACAGCCAAGACTGGAGAGTTAGAAGTAAGTCCTGTTCACACCCCTGCTGCAGACCTTGCACAGGGCGTTCAGGTAGCTTCTCTGCCTGGAGAGCGATTAGCTTCGTGGTCAAGCACTCACATTGAAGTAGCACACGAACAGCTGAGTAAACCCAATGCCTAGTCATTCTTGAAGGCAGAAGCTCCCACCCCAGCTCCTCTGTCCGTGCCACAGGCCATGCGGTCCTGGCCCACCAGAAGCATCACTGGGTATGACACTTCTCTGA